GATCCCACAGCTCTATCAGAGCCACCGCTGGGCCCAGTGTTTTATTACAGACCGAGAGGGACAGACAGAGAGAGACTGGAAAGGAAGAGGGAGACTGTGACCATGGCCCATTGATATAATGGCCCTGCTGGTGTTAGTGATATACTGTACAGGTGGGCCTCCGGGAAAGAGAGGAGCACGGCAACAGAGCTGGGGAGGACAGAGGATGGGAGGGGTGTTAGCACATTGTTGTTGTTTTGTTTTTTCTAAATTACACATGAGTTGAGAATGGAGATCTAAGGGCTGAGAGACAGAGGAGCTGCTGCTAGACTGCAGCTCAATACAGATCTGTGTGGTGCTGCCTGAAGAGAGATTACAGAGCTGTATTCCAGGAGCTGTTGTGGGTGTGGGAAACCAAATGGAATGGAATGAAGTCCAACAAACATTGACGGGCTTTCCTTTCCTGGATTTAATGACAGCTTTTCGATTCAACCCTCTCACTATGGCACTGGAACCTGTGTCTAATTTGGGCTATGTTTCAGAATTTATTATATCTGACTCAATGCTTATAATTCATGTGTCATAATGGCTATCAATCACTAGCAATAATTCGGCTAATATTCTCATTAACTCCCACTTCTCATCCATCAATCAAAGGCATAGCCAGATATCTGCTGAGCTGCTGGGGCCAGGGCAAATGCAGATAAAGGTGGGCGATCCTCGTTAATCACAGGCCGAATCAGCAGCACTCAGTCGAGCAGGGGGATCAACCTTAGATCTGTTGTAAACCAGCTAAACCAGCAACAGTAGGGCCTCCAGCAGGACCACAGCGTCTCGGCCTGCCCTGGCAGCTGCATTCAGCACTCAATCTCGCCTTAGCTTTGCCTCACTGCTTCACATCGTCACAGCCAAACACTTGGAGAAATTTTAACAATGTCATTGTACCACACCCCATCAGCCCTGGAGGCAAGCTTACTTGGGCTCAAGAGTCACTCTCTCCATAATCACCCCGTCAGAGAGAGAAAGAGGGAGGTGGAGGTGGGGGACAGAGACACAGAGAGGCAATCCAGCTGAGCAGAAGTAGCTTGCATCAGTATTTATAGACTGATGTCCTACATGTTGTACCGGTCTGAATTGAATTTGGAAAACTATCTGAGATAAAGATGGAGCATTGGGGTCCAGATGGAGGTGGTAAACAGATGATACAAAAACACAAAGTGACTGTAGTCTCTGCTTACATCATAGAGAACCATGGAATTTTCACTTTATCAGCTACACAATTCAGCAAATAAATAAAGACTTACTAGTGGCCCCTTCTTTTCTAGGGAACACAGTGAACCAGTAAATTCAGGCTGTGATTTTCTTTTGTATCACTTTCACCTGAATGTACGTCTTAAGGGGAAAACAAGGAAGAAAGTTTGAACCATTTCAAACAAGTCAGTACATGGGAAGGGTCTTCAATTTTGGGGGGAACAGAGCTACAGAATATCACTTTTGCTTCCAGCAAAACGCCCAGCAGACTTAGATTACAGCACCAATCTGATACTATTGTGGTCCCTCTTGTTGGGAATCCTGTCAAACAGCTAGTTTGGAAGAATAAAGCTTGTGTTACCTTCTGCAAGAACATACACGAAAAAAGAGAAAGGTTTTTTTTTTTTTTTGTACGGACATATCCCTTTTCTTTGCTGAATCAATAATCAAAGCCTTTTTTTATTTCTGTATCACAGTCAGTCCTGGCAATCTAGCAGTTCAGCTGGAATTGATGAATATTAATGTTTGATTATCAATTCTCTTTGTGCAAAAACACATACAATGCCGTGTTGGATAAAAGTGTTGGACAATAGGATGAGGGATCAGTCAATTTTCCACATCTGCTCTAAGCTGTGGAATCCATCATTAGCAGTCCTAACACACCGTCTGCTAAATGATCGCCTGGAAGTAACGGAGTCTGGAAAAGTTACATCTGAGACTGTGAGATATTTCAGCCCGAACTGCCATCAATCTGTCTCACACTCAAAGCAAACACATTCAGATATCTCTTTGGTGTAAATACAGCAATTTGTTCACTGTTTGTCTTTTGTTCTGAGACAATGTTTTGCCTTTAATGGCCTGGTGTAATTGAGTTACTTTGTTGTATGTTTGAATAATTGAAATAGCTTTGACTGAAGAGGCAAAAACATGGGAAAAATGACTGACAGTTTGGAAAGACCTCATGCCAAAATACAGAAAGGTCTTCAACAAGACACCCACTTTACGTACTCCACAACTCCTAATTTATTTTTGAAACCTAAGCTATGCTTTTCTATTGTGGTAGTGTAATGGTAAATCAAGAGCTGCTTTTCCTAAAATTACCCTCTGCTTTATTTGCTTAAGTGGTCTTGGTATCTCCCACTCATTGTCAACAATGAGCAAACGTGCGTCCCTGAGCTCAGTCCATATGAGCGAAGCGTATCTACCTTCACGCTCCATTTGCCTATTTCTATTCTTAATGACAGGATATTTCTGAACTGTCCCTGGCTCATGATGAGTAATCCTAAAATCCCTTCCAACGCTGTGTTCGTTTTAAGCTACAGCCGAGCAACAAGCTTTCACAGCTGTCTCCCCTGCTTCACTTTAACAGGTACTGCATGTCTGCCTCCCCGACGCCAACACGACTGACGGGGGCTGACGAACGCGCCGCTCACTGAATCACAATGTCAAGAAACGATGCGCTGAAGAAGAACAGCAAAAGGGAAGGGGGCTGTCACGCCTTATGCCGTCCTTCTCACTCTTCCACACCTCCGTCTCCACCTCACCCTCCTCCCCCCTTCTTCCCTGCATTTATGCTAATAGTCTGTGCTGAGAGAAAACACCATGGATGACACACTATTAAAAATCGATGGCACAATCTCTCCCTTGCTCTCATTCCCAGTGTTAGTGTTTCTGAGGGGAGTCCGGTTGGTCACAGACAGAGATTGGGGATGCAAGCATCATTTAAACCTCAGAGTGCACCGGCAATAAAAAACTATGGGATGGAAAGAATCTTGGCCTGGACTTCCTTGATAATCGGCCGACAACCACAGACACAGGCGGCCTCACACGCAGCAGAGAAAATTGTGCAAAATACACAGAGAGCTGTATGACCCATTTGAATCACACCTCCCACCCACTTAATTCATTTTTTAATTAAGCGTGAGAATCACAGAGAAAGGGGAAGAAAAGGAGACAGAGGGTTTGAGAGGGAGAGAGATTTATAGTCTTAAACCAATGCAGTGCCATCTTGGTCGAACATAAGACTTATCTTGGCTCTGCCAGGCATACTCATGAGTACTTAACCTTGCAGTGAACGCCACCCATCATCATCGCCTTGCGAAAGGCTAGCCGCGTTCTTCTTCGCCCAGAGACGCCCCCCTATCCCGCGCAAAATCCTAACTCTGTCCTTCAACGGGAAGATGCTTATCCCTATGACTAACCTATCCTACAGTCAAGTTTGCAAAGCATTTGCTCGGGCCTTGAGAGAACGCATCTTCACGACTGGGAACATAACTTAATTTTGGGCCACCACTCCTCTGCTAAAAATCTGCAGAATATTTCACAGTATGGCCAGGGGCACACGGCACCGGCTCCAAAGCAAGAGTAAGTGCAAGCCGGATTTAAAATCATAGCTGTGTTATCCACTCATTTGCCTTCATTGAATGCTGCTTTCTTTTTTGCCCTTTTTATTGTTCTTTAAAAAAAAATGTTATTAGGTTAAATATCAATGAATATGTAACAATTTGCTGGGTGATGTGTTGTTTGTTTGATGCGCAGTTATCTCACAGTTGTGCCCTAACCTTTAAATTCTACTCTCACATACGGTCACTGTGGCCCCGGTGAGCGCCTGTTTGTTTCAGCATTCTGATGAGCAGTCATTGTCAAATCCAGCAGAGGCTGCCTAATTGACTCGCTTGAAAAATTAATGCATCACTTAACAGCATTTTTGTGTTCGTATGGTATTTAGAAAACACAGGTGCAAATCTCGCATGGTGGCAAATGTTTAATTGATGCAGCCATATGACAATGCTCAGGATGGAAGAACAAAAAAAAAGAAAAAGAAAAACAAGAGGGAGTGAAATTAAAAGACTTCACTTAGACCACAAGTAACTTATTTTTCTTGTATAACAAGAATGGAATCAGATTTGTAGCTTCAGCTGCCATGTCTGAGGGGTTGAAAAAAATCTTTCACTGCGCTACAACGGCAATATGTCATAAACAAGAAAGGCATAGCGAGCAATTATCAAATATTAGGCACTGATAAACTGTTTGCAAAAGCTATTACCAAACAAGATCAAATATTATGCTTGATGGCCTGTATTCCTGCCCATGCCAGAGTGGCTGGGTGATATTCGGAGGGATGTGAGCGTGGCTGCCAGGCTGACTCTCCCCAGGTGAATCCCAGCAATGAGCTGTGAACAAGCTGCTTTGGCCGGGCTGGCCAGCAGCCCTCTGCTCCCCTGAAACCTGCCTGACACTTCCACACAGGCCAGGGAGCAGGTGGCCCTCAGCCGCAGGATTAGCCCACAGTTCTGTTCATTACAGAGCTGCGATGGAAAATCTAACATCACTGAAATAGTCCGTTCTTATCCACCTTACGCACAGTCCTAAACCCATGCCTTGGCAAAGAGAAAGATTAAATAAGAGGAACAAAGAAGGCGATATGCTTCTCATGCATCTGGGCTAAAGTAACAGTGGCAAAACAAGCTGTGTTTGCTGCTACAGACTAACACAGAATCTTGGATTTCAAGGATGTCCAAATGCAAAACCAGAAATATGTGCAAGCATTAGTTAATGGGAGTTTAATTATTTCCATAAGCATTTTGTGAGCCCCCCTCTCTGCCCGCCGTCCTCTCTCTTGTCCCCATATCTCTGTTTCCCCTCGACAACCAATACCCTCCCACCGCCCATGGGAAGAACAAAAAAATGGAAGGAGCATTCAAATGGCCGAATTAATGTTTCCACACGATAAGCGAGCTTAATATAATGCTGACAATCACAGCACTCACCCTGCCAACTAGAATTGGATCTGGTCCAGAAAATTCCTCCAGCACAAACATTTGATTCCAAACCCATCCTCTCTTGGCGCGGCTCAGTAATCTTTGTCCTTCGCCAAGACCGCTCGCCACCACTGCGGACCCACCAGTTTGTGTACTTTTGGACTGGCCTATGATCGGAGTCATAGACATGCAGGGAACACAAGTAATCCACACCAGCAGCAAGGACATCCACAGATCCAAAAGCATCTCCTCGAACCGCTTTGGCATCCTGTCCTTTTGTGTGTTTTGTTTGTTTGTTTGTTTGTTTTATGAGACTCTTTTCTCTCTGTGTCTTGTTTCCCCCTCCTCTCTTCAGATCAACAGCTCCTTCTTAGATAACAAGAAAAGGTTACTTGTGTCCTCTTTGAACGGCAGAGCTTGCATTCATGGTGTGATAAAGGTCACTTGCATGGCTTGGCATACTTCCATAGCAGTTGGTGAGGGGGTGAGGCTCTCAGCGCAGCATCCATTTGGCGTTATTCCGAGGGGGAGACCTATAAGGAAGCAATCACAGTTTGTTAGTTGTCTCTTGGTGTTGTGAGAAGTTGTCAGGAGCTGGGGTAGAAAAAGGGAGATAGGAACAACAAAACAGAGTCAAATAAACATTTGAACGAATCAGCCGAGACATCCAGAATGAGAGATAGAAGATAATTCAGTTTCCAAGGCAAGAAAAAAGATGAAAAGGGAAGGGAATTCTCCTTTCTTTTAGGATATGAAGTCAAGATGTCACTTCATCATTACAGATGATCTATCTGAAGCAGCCGTGACCCTCTATTCCAATCTTGTTTTAATATTATCCTGCTACAACTGAACAACAAATGGCTATGCCCATTCTCTGAGGTTGTTCAGCCCACACTATCAGATTGCCTCGCTTTAATCTGTTGTTCTGGGGATTATCTTGGAAAGATTTTGAGAAATTACATGTTCCTTACGATTAATGTTTTGACAAAACCTTTTGGGTTAAATATTGTCACAGGCTGCAATCAAATTCCTCAGACATTCGCGCATGCATGCATGCAACACTGGCAGGTTTAGATAAAGAGGCTGGCTGCAGGTGAGCCATGTCAACAGCGCTGCAGCTCACTGATATCAAAGTAATCCAGATGAGATAATTGCTAAGGTATTTAGAGGCGTATTTGTTCATTTAATTAAATATGTGATGTTACACTGGAACTGCTGTTTTCTGATAAGCCTGAACATAAAGTTGTTGTTGTTGTTGTTTTTTAAACAGAAAAACTGTAATAAGACAAACAAACCCAAAAATTAGAGTGACACCACTGGAACATGTAATAAAAAGATGGAAACTCATGTAAATTTTGCCCTTTAATCACAGCAGTTTAGGGCTTTACAAGTGTTCAGCCAGCTCAGTCTGACGGGCCACAAAACTCAACAGCAAAGTGGTAAAGCAGACACAAAGGGCTGGCTTGAATGGTCTTCAGCTTCAACTGTCGCAGGTAGACATGCTATGAGAGCACAGGACGGATGTTTTCAGCACAGGGTCACTTCTGGTAACTTTTACTACACGGTGTCTCCTGATTATAGCAGAACATTTCCAAGGACAATAAGATGAATTCCACCTGAAGTCAACTGTAATATAAAGTGCGGAGGGATTCGAGTTACAATGACACCGACATGGAGACTAAAAGATGCAGGACCGGGTCAATAAAAAAATGGACAAATATCTCCAGAGGTAGAGTAAGAGGATGACAGATAGCCCACCTGTTTTAGATTATAGTCAATATAAAATTTAGCTCTAAATACCCGACATGTAATTGTGAGCTCTCCTCCTTTCTTTAGCTTTTTCAGTCAGTGCGGTGTGTGACTGGGTAAGCGCTTTCAGCACCACCGGGGAAGGACAGCTCCGTCCAGACAGCGCTGCCGCACACCGAGCGCCGGCAGCGGAAGAGCTGTCCAATGTAGCGGCGGCACGCAGGAGCACCGCGCTCCGCAGCGTCTCGTCACCGAGGAGGAGAAGGAGAAAAGCCACAAAGTTTGAGCTGCTACTTGCCGTTACGCCTCTGCAAGTGTCTGCAGGACGTAGCCCGATCCCCCAGATTCGCCCTCTCTGAAGTTTTACCCTTTGGCGAGACAAGGTTTCCAACCAGCCCGTCTTAGTGCATCAAACGTGCCACCGGAGCGCACAAGCAGTCCAGCATATACGGGCAGCACAGGAGCGACTTCTACCGCAACAGAGGCAAGTGCAATGTGAATTAAAAAGGCAGCCTAAGTTGCAGACCTTTGTGGAGACTTACTCTGTCGCTCCGCGTCACCTCGCTCCTGTAAATGCGCCGGATAAATGCACTGAAGCCCCGCGATGGAGAAAGAGGCTGTGAGAAGTCCTGTTCGAGCTGTCCGCACAGCAGCGCTGCACAACACACATACCTGTTAGGTTTAGTTATCACGGTGGCGGGCTCTACTTACTAGTGAGACTTGCGTCCTTTTCCGCTGCTGCATTATTTTAGCGTTAATTTGGTTTTTCTCCCCTTCAAAATACGCCAAAAAGTCCAGCGCGTTTCATTCGAGGCGATGGGAAAATTTATAGAACGCGGAGAGGCGAGAGGCTAGGAATCCTTCGTACAGTTTGTCATTGCGGAGTGACAGTGTTGGGGTTGTAGTTGGAGCTCCGACAGGCTTGCTGGCCGACTGGAAAAGTGAGGAGGAGATGGAGGAGAGAAGCACGGTGGCGAAGAGAGCCTCCCCTCCACTGCGCTCATTGGGTTGATGAGGAGCCGGGTCAACAGGCGCACAAATGAATGCGTGCCGCTGTGCCCAGGCACGGACGCGCAAAGGTTATCCTCTCACACTGCCAGCTACAGCTCTAGATGCTGCAAGAGGTGTGTGCAGCTAAAATGTTCTTATTGCTGCATTTTGACTTTATTTCTGTTTCTTTGTTTTTGTTGTGTTTTTTTGTTTGTTTGTTTGTTTTTCGAACTCTCCATTTTTGTTGAGGCAACGGCGCATGAGTTGGCCCTCGCTTCTGTCGGTTAATGGAGAAATGAAATAGGCCAGGCGAGCAGTGATACGAAGCCGAGGCTGCTCATTTACACTGTCATTTGATAGGGCTAAGCATTGAACAGATGGACACGCACTCACATGCGCACTGTGGCCCTGTTGGCACAGTGGAAGAAGTGCTCCGTCCGTACAGGTTTAGCTCATTTCCTCGCACTGACACTAACTGCTCAGTGGCTGGATTTCTATGAAATCTTGACACTTGAAAGGGAATTCATGAAAAAATAAAATGAGAATAAAGCTGAGACTGTGGGGATGAACAGTGTTACACAGGTTACACAGGTCTGATGAAGACAGTGAGTGACAGTAGAGGGCCCACGTTGCTGTCCACGGAGAGAGCCCTCTAGTGTTTGTGTGGCGGCTTGGCAGCAGCCAGCCAGGCCTTTGGTGGGGAGAAGCCGTTATTAGTACAGAGAAAAAGGAAGGCCAGTGTGCTGTCTGACACATTTGGCTTTATATTTATCTTTCAACATTTTATTTTTATTTAATTCTTTTTGCAAATGTGAGAATCTCTTTGTGAAACTCTACTGATTGCTAAACACTGCCCAGGAATCCCTTTGTCCCATTGAAAATGTCACATTCCCATCACCCAGGCCTTAGAATGGGCTCCAGCAGGCATATGTGGTGATAACAAGTGTTGGTGGAAAGCGCTTGTCTGAAGCACAACGTGTTATTGTACCTTACCACCTTAACGCAACACAGTTGTTCCTCTCACGCTTTGCCTGGTGGAGGCCTTTTGACCCAAGTGCCAGAGATCCCAATTAGCAAAGACATCAAGTCTACCATTATTTATTTCTGTACCATTTAATTTTCCTCCCACTCATGCTTTGATGTTGCAGCTGCATTTCAGAAGGGAATTCTCCAATCATCTTTTTTAAAAGCTTCCGCTGCATAATGCATTAGGCTGTAAATGTTGAGCCATGTTTCTCTTCCTCGATATGAATGAAGATTTCATTGACGGACACATCGGGTATGTGTGGATGGAGATAGATGCATAAAAAATGACTGCTCAGGAAAGGCTGTTCATTAAAATTCACTCTAAATGTTAAAGTAAATAAAAAGCCAAAAAGCACATTACAGTAACTGAGGGTGCATATTTATTAGAGGCGGTTTAATCTTCCTTTCTCTGTGTCATATATGCATCGCCTAACACAACGCAGTAAGTGCCAAGCTTCAAAGCACAAGTTCTAATTCATGCGTAATACAAGAATACACACTGTCATAAAATCAGCATTGTTGCTATTCAGAGCACGTTCTTTAAAAGGTAGGGTAAAAGAGCCATTGACATCAGGTGAATCTGAAACAACTAATCATTCAAAATCTCCTCCTGTGAACAGAGTTTTGTGCAAATGAGAAGGTTCCAGCTTTAAATTAGTGATTAATTCCACTAACATGGCTCCTGCCAGTGATCAAAAATATCAGATGGCTTTGAAAAAGGCAAAGTAAGTGAAGGGGAAATGGTCTTTAGAACCCAAGCATCCTCAATCGATCATTAGTTACTGCTTTGTCAGTGGTATTAATCACAGAGTTGTTGCAGTATGTGAAACAGAGTTGTACATCTGAGGCTCCACACAACAAGTCACCACCACAGGGACTGTTAGTATAGGAGAGTTTGTTGCTTGATTTAGATTTCCTTGTGTTATTTCTTCACAGTCCAATCATCTAAAGCACACGCTTGCCCACTCTTATGGACAGTCACACTGGGGTATTCTCAGTTCCAAGTATATGAGCCTGTTAAAGCAGACAAATTTTTGCGTCCCAGCACCGCTGCTGTCGCCCCGACTAATTTGGCCAAGTTTCTGACTCAACACCTATTACTCATCTTGATGAGCAGTCCACCTTGAAACAGTGTCCAGCCTGCGGTCGAGATAACCATAAACTGTAAACTACGCTTGTAGCTTGATGTTCTTTCTTTACTTTGCTTTACTAGACTTTATTACTGCCATTGCTAGGAAGCCCCCCCCCCACTGTGTGGCCACAAGCTTCATCTTGACAGCTACAATTGGCTCATGACTGGCCGAGCTCATCCATGGCAAATGCTGTGAAATATTTTCCTCTTTGGAAAAATGCCCAAGGGAAAATGTCATAACAAGAAAAACGGGCGCATGTTGCGTGTTTCTGACCAGCGACCGTTAGTCATTGTGAAAATGATGAGTGTTCTCAGAAACCTAGAGGTTAAAAACCCTTTTAAGGCCTGTTATTTTTCATTTTAGAAAAAA